CCCACGAATGCTGACTCCCTTCCTCCTCTGAGAGAGGGAGAGAGAAGAAATCCATTGTTGTGTGTTGCGACTTCCCTGGAGACACATACACTTTAACAGAATTTTCAGTGGTTAGTGATGAATCTTTAGAAATAAAGGTCAACTCACAATGATGACCATACATCTTCTCTTACTTTTTCCGTCCCTCCTCTCCCCTCCCCTCCCCTCCCCTCCCTTCCCTTCCCTTCCCTCCCTCCCTCCCTCCCTCCCTCCCTCCCTCCCTCCTTCCTTCCTTCCTTCCTTCCTTCCTTCCTCTCTCTCTTTCTTTCTTTCTTTCTCTTTTTCTTTTTTCTTTCTTTCTTTCTTTTCTTCCTTTTCCTTCNTCTTTCTTTCTTTCTTTCTTTCTTTCTTTCTTTCTTTCTTTCTTTCTTTCTTTCTTTCTTTCTTTCTGTCTTTCATTCCCTCTTTCCTTGACAGAGTCTCACCGTCCCCTAGGCTGCAGTGCAGTGGCACAATCTCAGCTCCCTGCCGTCTCAATCTTCCTGCTTCAGCTTCCTGAGTAGCTGAGACTACAGGTGCACACCACCATGCCCAGCTAATTTTTCATTTTTTTCTTATAGACACAGGATCTCATTTTGTTGCCCAGGCTTGTCTGAAACTCCTGGACTCAAGCAACTCTCCCGCCTTGGCCTCCCAAAGTGCCGGGGGGACAGGCATAAGCCGCCATGACGGCCTGCGCTGTTCTTTACAGACAGGTGCACCTGCGGCCGCATGGTCACACCTTTGGTTCCGACTCTCTCAGTGGCTCAGAGGCAAACACAAATGAAATCCCCACACCGTGCTCACAGGCCAGTCACACATGCTCATTACATTTTTCAAAGTTCTTTATGACTGGGATTTCCTGTAGTGTCTGAGGACCATCTTGATTTACTAATTCTGGGTCTCATGTTCACGTTTCCCCCTTTTTTTTCTTTTGGTTCTGTGACTTCTGTCTAATCAGGGCCTTTTAATGCAGGAGAGGGGCTGAGTATTTTCTGCCGATGGTTTGGGATAGTGTCTCCTCGGCATGGGAAAGAGAAGGCTAAGACGACACTACCGGCTGCTTTAGGGTTTCTCAGGAAGAGTTAGCAGGTTTTCCCCCTGTTACTGAGAGGCTGGAAGGAGGACCGCGATGGGCAGAAGTCCAGGAGGAAATCAGCTTATCTAAGGAAGAGTGTTCTAACAGGAGACCTTCAGAAACGGAAGGTGTTAGGAGTTTCCAGAAGTGCCCACGAGGAGTCATTCCAGAAGATGGAAGTGTTTGCTGCAGTATTGTGGAGAGCATTTTTCCTCGGGCGTGATCTGGACTTCCTGACAGCTTCTGGCTTCTCCTGATTCTCAGCGGCTGGGAATGAGTGCTGGAAGCAGCCTTTTTGCATCGTTTAGGTCTTCATTGTCGAAATTACTTGTGTGTGTGTGTGTGTGTGTGTGTGTGTGTGTGTGTGTGTGTGTGTGTTTCTGTTGGCCGAGGTAACTTTCAAGCCTTTTCACTCCCTAGTGTCGTTACCCTAACTCTGCAGTGTGTCTTCCCTCCTGAAGACCGGGCCTGGGATGCCACCAACTCTGTCCCAGATATTCTGATGCAAACCTAGAGGAACAGGTGTCCAGCTCCACCTGATTTACACACCGACCCAGTGGCCCTTTGGGGGACCATGCAGAAGAAAAGCAAAGGCGAGTCAGGGTTTGGAGAGAAATGGCACTCAGCAGCAGAGAGGCAAAGAACAGAGGAACCAGGGTCCTTCACCTGTTTGTACCTATCTCCGTGTCTATCCCCCAAAGTTTCTGTAGCTCCCCATGCCCCAGGAAGGGCATCTCTGAGAGTGCCCTCCTGGTGACAAGGCTCTGTGGGAGCAGTGAGGTGCAGAAAGGCTGGTGTGGGGAAGAAGGAGGCTGCCCAGATCGCTCTGGAGATGTAAGGTAGAATGACCGTGGGCGTGACATCCACCGTCGTGAGTGTGGTCAGGTTTTGTCTGTGACGTGAGGGGTCTAGCCATGGTTCTAAGTGTAAGTGACATGTGCACGTGATGTTCATGCATGTGTGTGGCATGTGCATGTTGGCAGTGGTATGGGAAGGGCAGGGGAGACACAAAGGTCAGCGTCGCTAATTTGGTTCAATTAGACGCCTGTGTGGATGATGGAAGCCTGTGAGCCTCACGTGTTTACCTGGGGAAACGCTCCTATCCTGAATTTCGGTGTCTCCCTGTTACAACCTCATGGACCCTGTAGGGTGCACACAGCTCATTTGCTAGTAGGAAAATGAACCCCACCAGGTTGAATGAAGTTGCTAGGTACCCACAGATCTGTCTGCGAGTGGAGAGAAAGAGGGATATGCTAGTCAGGGCACCTGTGGCCAGCGTGAACACAAGAGAGCGTGTGTGAGAAGGTCACTCCGTGTCAGCACATTCCAAAGGTCTTCAGGCCACCTGAGGAAGGTGGCCAGTGAGGGGAGGCAGAGGGTGTTGGGGAGATGTGAGCAGGACAGGCTTCTGCATCGGCCTTTGGGTCTCCGGGGCTTGGCAGGCTCATGCCGGATTCCACAGATCCACCTGCCTCCCTTTTCCCGGGCTCAGCCTCCATTCCATGACCTCGTCCCTAAGAACACACACATGCCCCAGGAGCTGGTCCTCACGGATGCTGAAACTGGGCTGGATGGCTGAATGGTGTCTCCTCCTACTCGGAGCCTCCCAGCTCTCCTGGTCTGGTCACACTGGTTGTAGTCATGATGCTGTCATCCGTCACCACCGTCCGGATCCTGACAGCTCCGTCTTCAGACCCTTTGCAAAGAACAGCTTTGTCTTCCTGCATCATCTGGACACTGAGACTTTCTCACCCAAAAGGATTTTACAAGGACCTGTTGAAAATCATTTGATGAATAGCAATGGCTTTGCATCTGGATCGCTACTGGGCCCCATACCTAAGTGCATTTGAAGGATTCTCTTTGCAACGAAGGCCCTGTGGGACCTTCTTAAGGGTGGAGGCCTTTCTGCAGGTTCCCCAGCCAGTGCCATATACAAAATAGAACGTGTGTAAAGAGTGACACCTGTTTCTTCGTCTGATTGAGTTGCATATGATGCCAAACGGCTTGAGGATGGTGTCTTACATCCTTATGTCCAACAGCTGCATCAACGTTAGTTATTTATTTAAATCCAACACTTAATTTTGGCAGTGGTAGGTGGTAATGAAGGGGAATGGGACAGGTGAGTCGCTAGTGTCTAAGTTCCTCAAATTATGGAGGGCACAGGTAGGGAGCTCTGTGGGGCAAAATGTGGTTAAGGGGTTGGAACATGTGGTATTGACAACACAGCCAGCTCCTCCCTGCGGACTCTTCCCTGTGTACAATGCTTGCCTTTCAAACCCTCCATCGGCCGCAGACATGTGCAATGTTCCCAGTGAACAGCCTTCCCTCTCCCTGTGAACAGCCTTCCCTCTCCC